CTAGCCTTAGGACAATCACACGGATAAAGTCCTGTCTACCACCAAAATCAATGTCTAAACTAAACCAAATCGGCTCCGCATTTGACTCTTTCGGCTAAGTTCATTTTGTTTTACACAAAATATGATACAATTCAAATCATAATGGAAGTACATTACTAAATACAAATATTAGCTATATTCTCCAGCAGATGCATTTTAACTGACTTCAAAAAAAGGAGGAGGTTATCAGTTCGTCGGTATATTTTTTTTTTTGTATGTTTGTGCATAACTTTGGACCACGTCAACCGATTCGGATAATTCTTTTTTCATCGGAAAGGTGGTACCTCAAGGGTTGTCCCAAGAAACTAACGATAATCTTAAATTTTTATATGGGAATTAAAGTCAGTTTTGTTTTTTGCTTAAAAATTATTTGTTTCGCATTCTAATCGCCTACGAAACGTAAGTTATTGATAAAAGTCAATGATGATGAGAATATCTAAATAATGGTTACTAACGATAATTATGTATGTCGAAAACGATGATAATGGCGACGTGCATTTGAATCAAATTGTTATCTATATATTAATACGCTAAATGGATTTTTACTTCTCCCTGTCCTGAATTCCGACATTATTACTGGTGTTAAATTCTCATTTCAAAATATTTAACTAAAATTTTAAAAGTTTAATTTTTGTTCTAGTAAGTATTTCCTACGCATACATATCTTCATATATGTAGATACGTACTATGTATAACTATTTTGTACATTAGACATGCCTATCATTGCAATACATACCAAGCCAGCGTGCCTTCACCTGTGCCTGTTGTGAGAGATAATATTTGCGTTTGACTTGCAGCATTTGCGGCATTTGATATGTTAATTAATTTGCACTTTCACTGCCGCATGCACCACCACACATCCATACATGCATACATACTTACGCAACCAGATAAGTGTATACACATATGAACACGCGTTCAACTGGGATGCCACACGTAGCCCATTGCAGCAGCTGCTGTAAGTTTTGTCATGCCAGTGCTGGCAACGACTAACAAAAATAATTTGCACCATCAAAACAAAATTTTCAAAAATAAAAGAAAACAAACTATAAAATTAAAGAGTTTCAGTTGTCGCATTGCATTTACTGGCATAAGTGTGTGTATATTGGCAAAGCAGGTATGTATGTAGTTGGTTGGCTACACAAATGCTTACATACATACATATGTATATAGTAAAAGCGCAAGGCAGGTAGGTGGTGGTGCTGTACGGCGGCGGGCAGTTTGCAATGAAAAGTTACAGCCATTCAACTTTTGAAAAGTTCGTAAGCAAATACAGTGGCTTTCATTGTCTTCAGCGCTCTTGGCTGGCTGTGCTCTGTTGTACCGCTAGCAAGCTATTAACTGGCTCTTTTTTGCTTTTGTTTCTACTGGTACGTACTGTAGTTGTTTGCAGCAGACTAAGCATAAGTGCCGGCACCTGCGTCTCTAACGTCACACTTCTCTTTACCTGTCGCGCCAATTCTCCCAGCCACTTTTGCTGCTTCCGCATGAAATTGGAAATGGAAAAGTAATTTCCCATTTACATGCTAAATGGCAAGAAAATACAATAAAGTTACTCAGCTAAAACTCTTTTGCCATTGCCATTTGCTGTTGTTGTTGGCTTTTGTTGTGATGGCTGCTTGCTGCTGGTTTTTTGCACCAAGTTGGGAAAGAGGTAATACAAATGTATAACTGTAAAGGCGGAAGTGGTGCGCACGATTAGTTATATCAGTGCTGCTACTTACTATGTTTGTATATATGTACATATTTACATGCAAGCAAGTGTAGCTTTAGGCCGCAATTGCGGCGAAAGTATAGAAGTCGGCCAAGTGCAAAATAGAAAAGCATCTACATTAAGAGAACACACAAGAGGCAGTTTGTTGAAGTCCTTCCATTGCAGACACGCACACTTCGCGCAGACCGCAGTCGCATAGCCTAGCGGTCGCTGGTAGAAACACGTACGCACACACATAGCTGCACAAATACTTTTGCACTTTTCAACTTTACTTTTCGACGAGTACTTGTATTTTTGCAAATTACAACTTGCAGAAGAAGCCAATAAAGCAATTGTTTTGTGTTACTTTCCAAGCGCAGTGTAAACACTCATACATAGATACATATGTATGTACATATGCGGCCACTACATAGCAGCTGGAGGAATGAGTGAACATATTTTTCAAAAGACTTATGCGAGGCAACTGCTGCTGGTAATAAGCAAGCAATGAATGCCAAAGAATTGAAAGCGTACTTAAACTTATTAGACACACGTAAAATGAAAATTAGTTTTCAAATTGAAATTTTTTTTGTAGATGAATTGAAATTTAACCATAAGCTTACGTTTGATTTAGTACACATACATATAAGAAGCTCTAGAACTCCAAAGATGTGGTCATTAATTGAGGGAAGATGATTTTTCCGCAGAGAGTAACATTTTGCGACAATGTATTTTCTTTTGGTGGATATATTAGGCTAGGCTATGTAAATGCGGTTGGCTTAAAGACACACGCCCGGCCGTTGAGACAACCGTGTCAATAACTAGTCCTCATTATATAGTCTGATCCTTCCGTTAGAACATTTTTTTTACTAAAATCCAATTTTATGAAAACTTTAATTAGAAAGAATCACTGGAGTCATTTCTAATACTTTTTATGGGTCTTTCTCTTTTAATTATACTTGCAATTCTTTCATCCTAATTATAAACCAATAGGAATCGGTCCATGATCCACCACTCTTAATAATTTGTTTCATATGAAGGAAGAAAAATTTTCACCTCAGTCACGCGTGGGATGCCGTCACAACTTAATATTAATCTTAAACTTAACCTTGATCTTAATCTTAGTCTTAATCCTAAACAAAAACAACTTAGTTTTAATTTTAGTCTTAATCTTAATCTTAATCTTAACCTTGATCTTAATCTTATTCTTAATCCTTAACTTGATTTTACTCTTAATTTTAATTTTAATCCTAATCTTGATCTTAATCAGAATCTTAATCGTATTATTAGGCTTAATATTAGTGTTACTCTTATTCTCATTGTTAAACCTAATCTTACTCTCAAACTTAACCCTAATCTTAATCTTAATCTTAATCGTACCCTTAATATTAGTCTTAATCTTAACCTTAATTTTAGTTTTAAAATTTAATATTACTTATTCCCAACCACCCACGCCATGCCTTTTCTCCTTCTGTCGCGTTTTCGTTTCATTGGAGTTTGGAATTCGAGCCCCACGATGGTGTCGCTTCTCCGCTAAGTCGGTCCCAAAGAATTTTCACCTCAAAAAACTGTGCAATCTTTCATGCAAATATTTGGATTTGCTAGCTCGGCAGTGACCGCACGTTAAAACCCTAGACAGTATGTCCCATCTATAAGGCAAACACGTTTAAGCTCTAAGCAATTAATAGTACTTAATTTACTCCTACACATGTATATGAAGCGAACTTTATCATGCAAAAAACGTGACTGAGTACTCCCTCCTATGCTCCCATGCAAGCTTAACTTTTGACATTAAAACAAAAAATCCATAGGTTAACGTTTATCCCATCTCTGTGATATTAATTATACATTTAGCTTTCTAACTGTCTCAGCTATACAAAGTCACATTGGGAGAAATTACTTAAATTAAAATTTACAATGCAGTCAGAGTGTTACATAAAGTGAGACTCCCTAAGTAACTTTTGACAACTGTCAAGTATACATATATGCCCCGAATAGACCGCTCTGAATTCTTTTGTGCAATCACATTGACGCTTTTATTCCTTTCAATGTGCAAGGAAGCCCGCTTTATTTATTGTGCAGATACACATATGAACAAACATTCAATACTCTTGTAATATTCGCTTTTAAATTTTTATACACTTCCATATATGTATATATATATGTAAATAAGACAACTCGTAGTCAAATTCACATGCGACGCTTTCTTGGTGTGTGTGTATGTTTCAGACACCTTCAAGTGGAAGTTCTTCCGACTGTTGTCAGCAAAATGAATCTTATTATTGCCGTCGTTGTTGGTGCTGTTGTCGTACGATTTTGTATGAAAATGCTGTACTATTTATATGCGGCAAGGGGCAACGGTGACAGGTGCAGCCAACCGCTGGCAATGGAGTACAGCGCAGCAATTTGACGTAAGTGGTTGTAAGGTCACAGCGAATACGAAGAAAATCATGTCACACATATGCACATATATATATGCAAACACTTACAAACGCACTCATTGTTAGCACTCAAGCAAAGTCTTTCCGAACGGATTTACAACCTTAAGCAAATTAATTTGAGTGCGTGATTTTCTCCTGTTTTGCACACTTGAACATGCAGGCATACCTATGTACGTACGTATGTACATTAGAGTGGAATTTTAATGCCGCCATCCCCTAGGATTGTTCTGAACCGAAAGTAAATACATATATACATATACCCCTATTTTTTTATTTTGAAAAAAAAAATATTTAGGGAGTGCTCACAGTGCTCAAAGTTTTCCATGTATTTTATATGGGGAAAAACAAATTTTCGTAAAAATGGTATAAAACTCTTGAAAATCAATATTTTTCAATCGTAAAACTGTGGTTCTCTTCAGAAGACTTCAAATATTAATATTAAATTGTTTATTTAAAAATTTTTTATGATTAAAGATTTTTTATTGGTCCCCCCCATTGCATTTTCTAGGACCTAAAAAATATAGTTACCAAGAAATAACGGTTAAAGCAACAATTGGGTATTATTACTGGGAATCTCCTGAAGATAAGCAAAGTTTTCCGATAGAAAAATATTGATTTGCAAGAATTCTACACTAATTCTACGAAAAGTTGTTTTTTCCCCCTAAATTTTTTTTTATTTCAAAATAAAAAAACAGGGGTATATTTTTTGTCGGTATAGGACAATCCTAGGGGGTTAAAAATGCGACCTTATTTTTTTTACGTACATTTTTGGACCACTTTAATATACGTACTTACACATCTCCGTTTTCAAGTGTGTTTGCTGTGCCCTTGTGTGTGTGTGTGTGAATGTATTGATTACACTGGTCTACAAGGGTTTTGCGAATAAGACGGGACCTGGTGTTTCCGAACGGATTTTTCGTGCTGAACACGAATCTGGGGTCCAAAACTTCCCATCACGTCACGTTTTCGAGAAAAAAGGGGTTGAAACCCCTAAAAACAGCGTTTTTGGCCATTTTTGAAAAATTGTAGAGCTGAACCCTGACGTGCTACAAATTTTGTATATTCAGAAATTAAAGGCTAAACGTGCCCTTTCGAATGAGCCCTATGCCGAATTGATCGCGATGCACCCTTAGCAGGGGGTGTATTTGTGTCTAGGGAGTGCGACAATTTTTAATCCAAAACCATTTCAGTATCTTAAATTTTTAAAATCTAACTGCAGATTCGTAATCAGCGACTTTTAATATAGTTAAAACCTTGGCATTATTAATTTTCTATGATCGTTTAAGATTAAATTCTTTCTGTGATCAATTTTTCCTGCACCCCTAAACACAAATACACCCCCTGCTTTAAGGGTGCACGCGATCAATTCGGCATAGGGCTCATTCGAAAGGGCACGGTTTAGCCTTTAATTTCTGATATATGCAAAATTTGTACCACGTCAGGGTTCAGCTCTATAATTTTTCGAAAATGGCCAAAAACGCTGTTTTTAGGGGTTTCAACCCCTTTTTTCTCGAAAACGTGACGTGATGGGACATTTTTGACCCCGGATTCGTGTTCAGCACGAAAAATCCGTTCAGAAACACCAGGTCCCGTCTTATTCGCAGAAAAAAAGTTGAAATTTGTAGACCAGTGTTATCGCATGTCTGTGCCATGAAATATTGATCAATTTTAATTTTAAATTTATTGCAATTGTAATTTGTCAGACGCTTAAATATGTTAGCTTTAGCCCACAAGTACATATGTAAGTATGTATAAATGCATACAAAGTATTCAGTATTCACCAGTATACACACGCATCAAATACAATGTAGAGCAAACTTATTCACTCACCTTCACCCAATCATATTCGGTTATATGTATGTATGTACAATGTACATACAAACGCACTTTTGCCAACGCTAAGTAAGAGTCCCGCGGGTGCTGTCAACTGCTAAATTGTGCAAAAGTTTTCACCTTTTGGAGCTAAATACATACACTTAGCTGAGCAGAGCAAAGTGAAGAGGGCGGTTGAAAGCGTGGCAGTGTAGGTTAGTTTTTACCATACCACCATACATACATATGTGTTACAAGTTTCTTGGTGTGCGTGTAACGTGCGGTTGAACACATTTAAAACTTATTACGATTGTTAAATGAAATCTAGAGTGCATGTACGTAGCAGGGCAATGCCAAATGCAGCCGCACATCATTTCCTGCGTTTGTGGCAGTTTGAAAAAAAAAAACTCAAACAAAAAAGAACTTGAAGTTGAGGAAGAAAATAAAATTAAAAAGCTCATTCATTATGCTACGCCAACACTTGGCTGTCCATTTGTTGGCGCAACAGTCGAATATTATTTGAGCATGCACAACCGGTGCAGTCGAGCGTCACACTACTCTGGCACAGTGGGCGTTTCGTTTAGCTATACTATTTTTTATTATTAGTAAAAGGACAGTCGTGAAGGACACAAGAGTTCTACAAATTAAGATCCATGACCCCGTTCATGTGTAACGCGGATACTTGGAGAGGATAGAATGTGAACTTTACCAGCATCAACGGTAAAACTTCGACTGTTTATTAAAAAAACAAAGACCGTAACTTGTGGTTTTTTTTCCAAAAAGTAGATAAACAATTGGGCCTGGTTTCGAACCCAGCTTCCCACCAACATCAAAGATTAAAAAACAAAAATGTTTTCTAATAGCAATTGCCCCTCGGCAGGCAATGGCCAACCTCCCAGTGTATTTAACCACGAAAAACATCTTCGCATAAAAATACAAGCAGACGAAATAGCGGTTATCGAAAAATAAAAGTTAGATTTCCACTTTTATTGATCGAAAAAACTAAAACTATATTTTAACTGTTATTTTAGACTGAAAAAAATTAAATAAAACTTTAATTGTTATTTTTGACTGAAAAAGTGTCGGTCCAAAAAACCGACTACTTGTTTACTTTTTTGCAAAAAAAAATTAAAAAGATTTAAAGCATTTAAAATTCATATTACTTAGCTAACACGCATCACACTGCTATATCCAAATATCATATAGAAAAATTCTTTCTGTCTGATTTCTCGAATTAAATTTTCAAAAGTAACTGTTACTTTCAATCCCAGTTTGTTTATTATTTTTTATTTTACTTTTTTCGTTATAGAAGTTTTGGGGCCCGATGCAGGAGTGACAGTCCTTGGCCAGATATAACGGTTAAGTAGACCCGACTGTCTTGGGTAGGCCGATCATTTTCGTTATTGGTACTGTTATCGATAACAAATGTCACCTTTGTCGTTCTAACTAGTGCTGTTATGGATATACATAAAAAGAGAAATGTTTCTTAGGGCCAATTTCACAATGCGTAGTTAACTTAGAATCGGCAGTTAACTACTGCCTGAAAATCTTTAGTTAACTGTCGATTCTGATTTAGCTACGCACTGTGAAACTGGCCCTTATTTTATAGGTACATATGTATGTATATTCCTTTCTTCCAAGAATTGCAGAAAAAAGTGTACGTCTTAAGCCAAGAGTGTTATATAACAAATATCTAACTCTCTTGGCAGTTCTTCTTTAATGGGCTACATAAAAAAAATCAATTGACGATAGCTAGCGTTGGTTCAAATATTTTGTATGGTTAATTTTTTTCCTTAATTGTTTCATTTTTAGGATGTTTTTTAGTGTTTGGGCAACGTACCAGGAGTTTTTTGGGGCATTTTATAATTTTCGGTAACTACCCAGATTTTTCAGAATCTCTCCGGACTTTTAGGGAACCTAAGAAGGCTTTATAAGCTCTTATATTTCCGGCTATAAGTACATACATACATGTTGGGACAATTTAAAAGGTTTTTTTAGGGAAATTAAATTCACAGTGCTTCACGCCTATCGTCCACTGTTCAATCGTTGACTGTGAAGGACGCCTTTTTTGACCGTTTGGTTGTGGTCTCATTTAATTTCTCGTAACCATTTGTAAAAGTTCATTTTTTGACTTTCTTATTAGCTACAACTAGTTTTAAACATCGTTTTTGTACTATTTTGTTTTTGCGCTTTCACTCCGCTCGAGTTGGACAAAGTAGATTTTGCCACTTTATTGAACACGTAAAGATAAAAATGCAGTTGACACTTGGCAAATTTCCGCACAAATTCACACAAGCAGACATACACACACATCCATGCACTCAAATTACATTAACACTCGCACTGTGATATATTCATTTAAACGCTAATACTTGCACAAAAGCGCAAAAACACACATACATATGTATTTGTACACTTTTTGTTACGCTTGCCTTGTGGCGAGTACCCACTGGCAATGTCACACTTCATGCCACACCACGGCGTATACGTAACAATTTTATAACGAAGCGCTACGATTCTCGCTATGCGAAATAATAGAAATCCACAATCGAATTGTGGGCGGAAAGTCGATGGTCATTCTGAATGCAAGCCAAAGTGTTGCTTGCACGCCACTGTATACATACATACATATGTACGTATGTATGTATGTATGCACCTACAATAGATTGGTTATTTAGTTAGTTGGGACTGAGTGCGCAATTTATTTTCGATTTTTCGTGCTCTTCACTCCCACACACACACACACACACACACACACATTTTTCAATCTTCAACAATTGTCGAACACATTTGATATGTGTTGCAGATATGTGTGTGTGTGTGTTGGCATAGATAGCAACAAATAGGAAATGGAATTTGTTAGACTCAATAAGTGGCTACGTTTCAGTTGGCGCACAGGAGATATTAAATGTGGGTCGGCGGTTGGCGGTTCGTACTTGGTTAGTTGGTTACTGGGTACTTATGTATGTACTGCAGAGTGCGCAAAGTGCAAAGATTGCACAAATGGCAGCAAAGGGTAGAGAGCAGAGTGCACAATCGCAATGCATGCAAGCGCTTAGTGCTGGGCGCTGATAACGAATCGTGTGCATCTATGTACGTAACTATATGTACATTGTAGCTGTTGGTATGTGGCAGCATGTGCCATTGACAGTGGCAACACCAGCAGCAGCAAGAGCAGTCAAACCAAAAAAAAACAGCAAAAAATTCTTTCTCAATTTACGACACAAAAAAAAAATCAGTACTCAGTGCGCTCTTTTCTTATTATCTTTCAAAACCTTATGAAGAAGCGCTTATTGCAGTTTTTTTTTTGTTGTTGTAGTAATCACATATTATTGACATTTGTCATGTGACTTAGTTGTATTAAGTTATGACATGAAATGTCAGGGACTTACAAGCAGTAAGTAATAATACCCTCATTCACACTCACGCACACATATGTATGTACATACATGGCACAGCCAGCACCTATATTGTATATGAGAATCAAAGAAAAGGATTATAGCGCTTTGAGGATGGCGCACACATACACACACATACAACGACAATTCGCTGATTGTGTCCTCACACAGCCATTCATGGTTTTCTAAATACAAGTAGATGGCTGTGTACTTTTGTATATAGGTATGTAGGTTTGTATGTTTGGCATTCGGCATATTGCGCTCTATTTGGTGCTTTCGATTTGGCCTTCAACTTTTATTTCATTTCTATCCTTTTCAGTGCTAGAAGGCCATGAGAATGTGACAAGTGAGCCATGAGAGTGATTAGTGGTAAAATTTATGAAAAATTAATTACTCAAAGCAACTAAGGTTCGAGTAAATAATTGCAGACTTTGTAGCTTTCTATGGAACACGCAAGGTCGTTTTGCTCATACAGTAACACTATAATTTTTCTTCATGTTTTGACCGTTGTTAATGTCCAACCGGTGAATGAATGGTATACCTTAGTTCTGTGTTCTACTAGATAACAATTTTACAAATTTATTGCCACGAAAGTCATGGAAATAATGTATCTCAAACAGAATTCTGAATTTCAAAGCGAGGTTATATGAGAATGCTTAGTTTCTAATTAAAGGACCTGTATAAGCAGAGATAAATGTAAAGCTCCTCCAAAAACAACAATAAATGCGCCAGTCTAGTGGGAGTTTGTGCAAAATTTTGAACTCTAACTTAACATTCGGAAGTTAGATAGACAAAATAGAAATTATGCACTGCGATCTTGGATCTTTTCACACTAAAAACTCATCACAAAACCTTGTTTAGCCCTAAGTCCCTAATGAAACCCAGTAGTTTTATCGATCGCAACGAACCTTAGCAGGGGAGAAAATGGCATTACTGTCGCTGTTAGGAAGTCCAGGTAAGAGTCGTCTGAATTGATCTACAGGCTGTTTATTTAAGTTCGTGGCTGTCAGTGTATCTGTTATATATTTTAAGCTTGCCTCCTTAATATTCGTGTGATTTCGCCCATAAACTCTTCTACACGGCCGCTCTTCTGCTCCAGATTTTTCTCTGCTACGAAAAGTTAGGGTTTTGTTCCTTTTACACCGATAGCTGCTGGTTTCCTTGCCAGTTTTTCAAGCTCTTCGTTCCTCTATTGGGGTATGATTTGGAGCCCAGGACCACATAGACTGCACTAATTATGGTATGTGCGTTTTTCACACGAAGATTAATGTGGCATTTAGTTCGTCATTTCGGTATACTTCTGCGTATGTGGCCGTAAAATCTTTTCTAATATTGTCTGCTTCCAGCCTCCTTTTAGCTGCCCAATTCAACTTTAAACCTTTTCTCAGATTTTTCACTTGGGTGTATTTTATATTGAACTGGGAGAGGGAAATTCTGGTTTTGGTAATCCCACTATGTTAAGCCAGTCCCCTCGGAAAATGCCACCGCTAAATGTGTTACTATTGAATTGCATATCGTGGTACATAGTTTCCGCGGGATATAGCCGAGTCAAGGCTCCATCACCGAATGCCTGGTGGCTATTGTGTGAAAGTTCTTAGTGACCAGTCTATTGCAAATTTTAGGCTAGTTAACACTGGTTGGCCTAGAAGATCCAAATATGTACAATGCCAACTTATGAATCTTTATCCATAAAACTGAGCCTATACGAATCACTAGACCTGAGTAGTAAGCCACAAGTTCTACCACTTTTTGCTTTGTGTAAGTCATCTCCCCTCCTTGTAATAACCATCAATCGTTAATGTATCCTCAAGCGAACTTTCTAAGTTAGGCAGAGTCTAAGGTAAAGGATAAGTCTTCTCTCCAAGCTGATACAAACATAATAACATAAAAAACCCATCTAAGCTCTACTGGACAATGTGAACGCACTTTTGACAGACATCGGAACAGTGAACAGTGTTTATTTCATAAGGATCCCCAGTGACATTGGTTACAAATAAAATGAGGTTTCAGATATTTTGAACAGGAAAAGCGCAGGCAAGGGACCGGTAGTGCTATGACCCTTACTTGGGCTATTATGTAGCTCTTTAAAGCGAAACTATAGTACATATATGAAAATCTAAGCTCAACGTTATTGGTCAAGTTCAGAATATAGCAAACAGGACAGAACCTTCATTCCATAAGCCACTGGCTATGTTACAGTTAATAGCAGAGTATTGAATCACCTATAGTAAAGATTTGCTATAAGATATCAACTCAGGACGCGGCATCGGGATGAGTTTTCACAGAGTCTGAGATCAAGCTAACATAATGGTATCTATTCTTTGTTATAATTTTTGTTAACTGAGGGAAGTATGTATGTATGTACTTCGTTATCTTTTTTGTTACACTCTCTTGAGAAATTTACTGCCGCTCTTCGTTGTCTATGCTTCTAAATAAATTAGAACTGCAAGATATTCCTGCGTATGTATTTAACGCATTGCCTTGAACATTCACCATGCCATTAGCAAGCAAATGTAGTAATTTTGAAATATCCGAAAAACCATGATAAAAATATTACAAGGTAAATTCATTCTCTCAATTCGTGGGCCATTACTTTTTTTTTGGGGTTTGCAAGCATTTTAAATCATATAAAATTGAAATTAAAAAAATGAAATTGTTGACAATTGTTGCAGTTTGAGATTGAAAATGAGAATGTGTGCGTGAGTTTGAGTTTTGAATTTTTTAATTATATTGCTGACAAACGTCAGACTGCCTCTCAATGGTTTTACCATGCGAAAAACTAGCTGCCTATGAGTTTTAGCAGCTCATGTTACTTTTCATTATACGCATATAAGATATATATGTAGGTATGTATGGATGCACTTTTATGTGAAAGTAAATATTTTTTATGTGGAAGTGTCAAAAGAAAGATTATTTTTATTATAAATTGATTCTAAAATGGACGTGCGTTGTGAATGATTATTTGCTGTATTCTTTAAATTCCGATGAACAAGCTGGAAAAATTGTTCATTTAATACCAACATTGTATTGTGCAACCGGTATATCGATGGGAAAATTTCTGGAAATTCAAATGCTTATAAAACTTTTCCTTTGTATGTCTATATGCTGGTTTTAACTGTGTAAAATTCAATGGCATGTGCCGTCAATTAAGTGAAACACATTGTCAAATGGGACTAAAAAACGGTTTAGCCATTGGATTAGATATGCTCTATAGTTGTGATGTTTAGCCTAAATGACATATATTTGAAGTTTTATGGCCGCAGGTTAACGACAATCCATGCCGACTTTTAGTTGAGGTCTTAAATCTAAATCTGCTTGCTGAAATTTTTAATAGGACGACAGAAGTTCTCTCAAGGACATAGAAAAAATTAATTAAATGAAAAAGTACAGTGTATTTGCGAGGATGTAGTACATTAAAAGGCTGCAAACCGATATTTTTTCAAATACTTTATTATAATTTGTGTGCATAAGTCCAGAAAATTTGCCATTGAAGCACAATATTTATTTGGTCTGACAAGGCGTATGATGAACATTAAGTTACTAACAGCAACAAAGTCACAGTGCTGCCGCTGTCACTTCAATTGAAGTTTTTCACTTCATTTTGGATGCCTTCCCTTCGGCACTTCATTTTACTTCACTTTCCACAAATTAGATTTATCTCCAAAATAAAAAAAATATGTCTTCGAAATAATTGATTGATTTAACCGAAATAAACTATCTCTTGCCGTTATATGGAAGAAATCATTTTTTCACATGTGCGCAGAAATGAATTATTGGGTAAAGCTTCATAATTAATTAGTAAATATTTGACGAAAATAATAATTATGGTATAGTTTTCATAAATCTTCAATTTAACAGCTAAAAGGAAACATTTACTTAAGTGAATATGGTAATGACGTTGTTGCTGTGAATCGATAAATTATATTTTAGTCTTAGTTTTAGTGAACTGTATTTTTTATTGGCTTGCCCCTACGTTTGTGATATTGTGATTTTAAAGATATTCCACCACTAAATTTCCACAGGAAGATAATAAATTATAAATTATTAAGGTTAAAAATTACTTTTATTGTGATAAAAAATGAATCGATTAACCAATCAGCTGATAAAAAAAGTATCCGAAAAGCCCCACACCCCTTATTATGCTTGAAAGTCGGCACTTCGATAATCACTTCACTTTTGCTCCCAAGTCGTTCCTAAACACTGCACTTTTAAGGCCAGTATGCAACTCTCAAGAAGAGCCAAAACTCCATATATGTAAAATGACGTACAAGAAATGGCAAAGAAATTTTCCTGTGTAAAATTTTCTTGAGGCAGTACACAGTTTTTAAGAAATTTACTACAATTTCTTCTACATTTTCTAAAGTTTTTTGTGGAAAAAGAGCACAAGGCAACCCATGTTCCATTACTTCTTGAGGAAAGAGTGAGGCAACATGCTGTGAAGCATCAGATATCAAAATTCCTTGTACACACACACACACGAAATAATGGAATTTTTTTCTTGGCCGTTTTCTTGATAGCTGCATACTGGCCTTAAGTGTGTTTTCACATCGCACAAACGTTAGCTCATCACTGCGCCTCAAAGTTTGCTGCAAATTTTAAAGTTTTTGTGCATTTTTCTAGCAATTAAAATCGACTTTTCGCGGCACATTTTGTGTCAAACTAGAAATCGCATCACTGTTGCTAAGTTTTGTGACTATGTTAGAATAGAGGGGTAAGTTCATGTTTTTATCAAATTATTTTCCACTTTTTTTTTTTTTAAATGCCTCCATAATATTAAAAACCCCCAGTGTTTTAGTATTTGACATGGCTTACTTAAATTGAGCTTCTAGCCTCGGTATTCCAAAGATTATATTAAATAAAAAATGCCTTTGAATAATTTAAATTTTGTATCGATTTTACATTTATCCAATTATGTTTTATCCAAAATATTCTTTATTATATATATGTTGTTCTTGAAATAAGAAACAAATGTCTAAGCACTAATTAAAGAAACTTAGAAGTGTCCTTTGAAATTGGTATTCTCTAATACCCTTATATGTATTTATTCATAAGATTTAAATTCAACTAAGATTCTTTGAAATGCACTCAAAATTAAAAATTTTGAAGGATAATATTTGCAAAGGACTTTGACAATTTCTAAAATAAGAACAATTTTAAAGAAAAGCTACAATTAATAGTGCTTCGAGTTTTTCTACAGTTTGAGAAAAGTTGCTATTATCGTAAAATTTTCTATCAATATACGTACATACGTGCTCTTCATGAACTTTGATTCTCTGCTCCAAATTTGTTATTTTTTTCTTTTTCTAAGCGATTAATTTTTTGTACAACAAAATAATACTACAATTAAGCTTTAAGTAAGAGTTATAGCATTTTTTAACCCAACTATTTTAGCATGGTTTCACTTTCCACTTAGTGTACACACATACATACATACGTTTTGCGAGTATGCACAATATTTGTAACACAACTTACAAATTCGACAGTTTTCATAAATTATGAATATTGCTGTCAAACTTGCCACAAAGTTAAACTTGCCACAAATTTCGTCGATTTTCGTTCAACTAGTCTTCTACTAAAGAGTTAAGTACAAATTTATAATAAAAACAAAAAAAAATTGTTTGAAGTAAATTCGGCGACTTTGGTATTTCAATATTCAAAAGATAATTTCAGTTTTGGATAATTAAATGTTATACGCAAAGTTGCAGGAAACTTTAGATCGTTTCAAAGCAAATAACAACAAACAAGTAAAACTCAACTATCTGCGAAGGACAGAGAGCTGTCGGCACACTCAGTCCGTTTTATTGTCAACGGTGTGGACAGTGTTTCTGCTTCTCATTTAAACATAAATTGAGAATGGCAACTCCAAAGGGTATTTCGTACTAAAATAAATATTTAGATGATTATAAAATGCTTGAAAACTTTTGGCAACACATACGAGCAGGTAAGCACATTTTTGTGCATAAAATTGTTGAGTAAGTAAGCGAGAAAATTCTGCAAATTTCATTCCGAAATAAATTGGAAGGAATTAAATTCTGTTGGGGAAAATCTATGTTTGTGTAGTTGATTTTGAATTAAAGTTTAGTCATTGTGAGAATGTTTTATATATTTTTTTCTGCGTAACTTACTTTGGTGTGAGCTTTTGCTTACAAGTTTCTATTGCTCTGCCCCCGCGTAGAGTAGTAAGCCAAGTTGGGCATTTTTACGGTGACCAAATTAACCAACGTAAAATAAAGGACATTTTTTTTCAAAATGATTTGAGAATACGTACATACAACTCGTATGATAAAATTACCTTACCCATATCTTAATTTAAATCAAATACTTACAGTTAATTGTATTATTTAATTGTACAAATTCCCCCGCTGTAGCGAAAAAATGAAGCAAAATCCTTTTCAAGGACTTCGCCATCCCTTGCTACCAAAATGCGTTTACGATAATTCATACTGCACGACGAAGCCAGCACACAGTGGCTCAAAATTTGGAATTTAATGTTCATAATCCACCGAAACCTTCATTTTTCAACCAATTTTTACTAAAAAGCAAACAAAAAAATATTTAGTTTGATGAACATTTTTTATAACATTTCAAAATTTTTTTTGTGTATTTTTTTTTGTTTTGCGAGAACCGTACAATTGTTTTCAACTAGTTTTTGTTATGTAACATTTATTAACTGGAACAGGAGAGTACATTTTCTTCAAAATTGTTACTTTTTCTGCATTTTGCACAAAAAATTTAATATAATCAAATAAAAATTCAGAAATCAGGCTTAACTGGGCTCTTGCAAATATTGTAAGCTTTCATAAAAATGAAGGCTCCAGTGAATTACGAACACTAAATGCCAGTTTTGAACCACTAAGCAGCAGGGTGTTTATTGTTCTCTTTCAGTGGAACTGGAAACTCAGCGTGCAACACCATCCTGGGCACAACTTTCCCTGTGCTTTATAGATTGTACAAAGATAACCGATTAAATAGACTTTCCCAAATAATTTCGTACATTTCCAGCAATGGTCTATGTCAACTGTTTGCAAACAAAATTTTAAATTAAGTACAACAAAACTAGTTAAAACAAATATAAACTAGAAAACCTATTCTATTACGGAAATTGATATTTCAAATGCAGCAGGAATAAAAACAATGCCATTGGTAATGTCCAAGGAAAACTTCACGCCAGCCTGTTGATGGCAATGCTAATCTCCGGTAGCAGTAAATTGAGTGTAGTCTGCAGCCATATATATGTAGGTACGTACATAAGTGCAGACAATAAGACACGAATATAACCAATCCATTATAAACATGTAGAAGTGAAGCAAAAACAAAAATGATTGTGAATTAGAAAAAAAAATAGGGCAATGCTAAATATTTGGCAAAAGTGTACGGAAGCATACAGCGTTGAGTTCACTGGATATGTAAGACTACACCACACGTAAATATATATATGTATATACCTACACCTACCTATATTTGGCGAAAGTGTAGAGAAGTACATACATACATTGGTATGAATTGTGCCTAAACATGCAACGGTTCGTAAGACTACTCTTGTATAGGCATTATTAAAATACAAGCGTTTGCTCGCAAACGAAAAAAAAGCTTGAAAATAAAAGAAAAATGCTCATTTTTGCTGCTAAACGAAAAGTGGCAATTTTTAACTCAAAAATCCATGGATGAATGAGCACGCTTATCAGCTCGGCAATTTCAAGGTCGATTAAGCTGCTTCACTGGTTCAAAGCAGCTAGTTGGGCGGAAATTACAGCCAGCACAAATCATTCCAAATTAAAAAAGAGGAATGAAAGTGCAGAGCTTTGATTATTAATCCCTTCTGAGTAAAGAACCTGCCTACAACATTTCAAATCTAGTTTTTTTTTTTTGCCCATATCCTGTGTAGCTGAAGGCTCAGACTTGGTATTTGTTAATGCACAATACAATAACTTGATTTTGATTTTTTTTTTGGTTTTTGACAATGGAACAATTCAATTTTTCGGAAATGAGTTTAGTACGTTTTGCGAGGTTTAGGTAATAGCAGTAATTGTTTCTGAATTTTAATTTCTGCCGTAGCAAGCTTTGAATTTCTTGTTCAGTGAATTGAAAATGTACGAGCGAGTTAAATCAAACAGAGTTGCATTTCTTTTCTTATATTCTTGATAAAAAAGCAACATTTATTATATTTACTTATTTTATTTTTGCTATGGAAGTGTATGTACACTGCAAACATAAAAGGCGTTTTTATCGAGTTTGTTTTTTTATTATGACACTCTTGCAGTTATTGAGCAAAATGGATAATATTTCTTCACTACAAATAAGCAGTAAATTAGACAAGTAATGTGATATTTTATGATCTTTAAACCTTTAAAAAAGAATATCCTACGAAATTAAGATCTTCTTTCTGAGCCACTTCCAAGTATGCATTCTGTAAAAAAAATAAAACAAGCCAAGAGTGACGGCTCTTTTTTACATATTATTTTTCAAGCATTCTTAGATAGTCAAGTACCTGCATTTGCACTCGAAAATTTCCTAAAAGCCCCGAACAGTTCCGAAAATATCACAAGAAATTTCAAAAAATCCCGAAGACGTTCAGAAAGTAAATCGCGAACGTATCCAGAAAAGCTACGAAAATTGCGGTTTTCGAAAAAAATCCTGGGAATTTAAAAGAGTACCAAAGCTCCGAAAAAACTGCAAAAAATGTCTCTCAAAGTACTGAAAAACACCCAAAACTTTTTGGAAAATTCTAAAAACAAGCAAAAAAATTAAATAAATAAAAAGCTTTCTAAGTGGTTAATAAATGGAACAGAACTCTGTAACAAATACACACAAAATTTTCAAGAGGTCGGAAAAGTCCCAAAAATATCCAAAAAATTTTGAAAAGCAAAATGAAATCGTGGTACAAAAGTCAATTACACTATTAAATTAAAACGAGGAAGTTAACGAAAATATTTTGAAAACTCCTGGAAGATCCTCACAAAATAAAATCGCTAACATTTCCGAAAAAAAATTCCAAAAGTTGTTAAAGATTTCGAAAAGTTTCGAGAAGAAACGAAAAAATCCCTACAAAACTTGCAAAATATACCGGAAAAAATCTGACACATCTTGAATATTTGCGTAGAACCCAAAAAAACTACGGAAAAAGTTCTGAAAACTGCCGAAAATACTAAAAATATTTGAAAAGTCCTTAATGGTCTAACAAACTGCCGTAGGTTCTTGAAATGTAAAATACGCAAAATCACTAAAAATTTTGGATTCAAAATGGCAAAAAATATGGAAAAAATGTGTTTCTTAATTCAAAGGATTTTTTTCGATTAAGTTTCATAAATAATTTCCATTTGAGGTATTACTTGAAGTTCTCCGCAATCTTTGCCAGCAGGTCTGCATGAATTCCCCCCGACTTCCTGATCAATGGCATTCCTCAGTTCTTGCAGGATTCCAAGCCGACCTTTAAAAACCTCTGCCTTGAGATACCTCCATAAAAATGTGTTTCGCTATCAGAAATATTCTCCTATGGATTCAAGTCGAAGCGCACACGAAAAGACCTCTGCATTGAAGTCACAGACTCGTCCTTTCCTTGAAAAAAAACCTCCACTACAAAGCCTCCTCACTCTGCCGGCCACAGCATGTTGACTACAGAAAGCCTTATCGTTCACCCACCCATCGAACCGACTGCCTCCTCAAGTAAATTAAAAAAAAAACTGATCCTCGATGTGAGGAACACCATGGCGTATGAGCAACAAAGGAACGACAATAAATTTATTTTGTGCAAAAAATTACAAATATCTAAAGTTTTTATTTACACAGTGCAACAAATTTCAAAAATTTCGAGGTGATGGGAATCGACTTTTTCCCCGTTTTGTGGAACCCTTCATATTTCGATCCCTCCCCCTAAATGAATGCGATTGTTCTCACTGGGATAAATTTTTGAGTGTTGCACTGTGTTACCCATATAGAAAATGTAAACTTTCTCTTTCTTCAAGAGTCAACCAAACACACACACACATACATATAACGTATTTCCTGGAAATTAAGTCTGCAAAATTGGCTAATTGCATACATATATATATAAAAACTTATACAAGTACTTATGTATGTATATCCTGACGCTTCACAANCCCACCAAACACACACATACATATGTATGTATAACGTATTTCCTGGAAATTAAGTCTGCAAAATTGGCTAATTGCATACATATATGTATAAAAACTTATACAAGTACTTATGTATGTATATCCTGACGCTTCACAAACTCGATAATAAAGTTGCTGTGTTAATGTTATTGTGTAATTAAATTTAACGTCGGTCAATTTTGGCTTGCAATAGCCCAAGGGTGCAATATACACACATGCATACATACATATATCACCAGAATCTTACGGACGGCCATGCATACAAACGCACAGAAAAGCCACTTCGGTCATAGAGTAACGATAAATTAATAATTAAAAATTTTATAATGCTTTAGAAGCTGCCGAACAGAAGCTGCCTGCCTGCATATCTTGCAGAATTGTACATATGCTTTTGACTGAATGTGTGTGTGTGTGTGTGTGTGCGTAGGAGAAATGTGAAGTACTCGTACATACATACACACCAAAGGAAGTGGAAATTGTAGTTGAAAATTTTATAGAAAATTATGCCGGAAAAGCAACACACCAAAGCTGGCCTGCTCGCAGTGCTCTACTTACAGTGGCGGTCGAAAATGAATGAATGGTATTTCGTTTTTAATATTTAAAATATTTTTCAAGCTCAAATTTTTTTTTGATATTTTTGTATAAAAACATGGTTCATGCTTTAACAAAAACTTTATAAATCACACTTTCAAACTTTATACAGAACTTAAAAAAATTCCACAAATTTTTTTTGTAAATTTCGAACTTTTCAACCAGAATTTTTAGAAATTTTTTGGGTATGCAGCTAGCAAGCCTATAAAATTCTAGTAAAACTAGTGCAAGCTTTGAGTGGCTAAAAAATCTAATTGATTTTTAATATTTTTTTTCGACAATTCTTATTGAGCCTTTTTTAATGAACAACTATTGTGGAACAGCAACAACTATTTGAAAAAATGGTAGAAGTGATAGCTATTTCGGAAATCACCATATTTTCCTTCCCGCGGGAAGAAGTCTGAGAAGAAAAGTGGTGATTTCCGAAATAATTATCACTTCTACCATTTTTTCAAGTTGTTGTTGCTTTTCCACAATAGTTTAGGAAAAAAGTGCAAAACGCTGTCAACAAAAAAAAACTATTAAAAATCAATGCGATTTTTTAGCCGCTCAAAACTTGAACTTGTATTTTATAAGCTTATTAGCTGCATACCCGAAAAATTTCTAAAAATTCTGGTTGAAAAGCTCGAAATTTATATAAAAATTTTTAGAATTTTACTAAGCTGATTATATAGTTTTTTTTTACTGATTTATATAGTTTTTGTGAAAGCACCATATTTTTATAAAAAATATCATATATCATAATATACCGATCATGCATTGACCGCTACTGTATATGTATCAACTCTTCGCTACCGCTTTATGCCATTATTAAGGCCAATAGTGCTGCAAGAGACCAAATAAAGACGAAGAAGTAAAGGGTAGCAGCAGCAAAGGAAGAATAATGCAAATAGGAAGCTGGCAGAGTGATTGCAGCAACAGCTAAATACATATACATACACACATACGTCGAAGAAGGCTAAATAAGAGCCAACCAATAAGTGAATAAAGTAAATGAAGTGTATAACACTTTCCGTATTGATAGACATTTTCCTTTTCGCTTTTAATGGAAATTGCAGTGTAACTGCAACTAAATGATCATGATGAGAAGCGTTGTTGGTTGAGTGATGAAAAGTGAGTGAAAAAAAATGATTGAAAAAATGAATGAATGTGGCTACAATGTTGTTTTCCTTTTTGTATAACTTTTTTTTGTTTTTTTCTTTTTTTCACAGTACAGTGCGGCTGCAGCGCCAATGCAAAATGGAAATTCCATTTTCATCATTGCGTTCACCAAGGCAGCTTCTCAACTTTAAGACTTTTTTCTTCTTCTTCTTCTCTTGCTCACTTGTTTACTTCCTTTGGTACTCTTCTTTTCCTTCGCCGCACATGCATCACAAATTTACTATCATTTATATAAGTAGAAAATCTATAATAATCCTACACTGCACAGCATGCAATGCAACCACTGCTGGCGGATTTTTTTTTTTTTTTGTGTTTTTGATTTTTTTTTCCTACTGCTTTTGCTTCAGCTTGGCTATTCAAGCCTGAAAAGCGTAATTTGCAATTGAATGAAACATATTTTTTTTTTAAGTTTCCTTATTTTTATTTTTTTAATTTGATTGCACAAATGGGACCATGAAATCACTTCACTCCGCTTGAGGAATAAATCTTTAGTAAAATTAGTTTTTTAAGTTGCTTTCAAACAATTCGACTTGGTGTATTGCTTTTGTTGAATAATCTTTTAATAACAGTTTAGCTGATGCAACTTTAATAGAGTCTCAGAATTGAAAAATTGATTTCGTTTTTTTGCTAATCATCAGCTTTAAAATAAAGTGGGTTTTTTAAAAGGTTTTAGTAAAATGTACACAGTGACTCTGTGGCATCGCTGAAAAGAGTGATATTTTTTGACTATAACCACTTTTACTTGGCTGAATCGACTGATTTACTAATTTTCAAGATCTAAACAGATTACATAAAAAAAAAACTCCTCAGAGCAAAATGGGCGAAAGGATCGCAGGCTGCATGAGAAGTGTGAACTGATTTTAGAAAAATATGTTTGTGGATTACATATATTTTTCTTACTTCCATTAACCAAAATTTACATGTATTTTCATGTATATTAGGGTGCATTGAAAAAAAACTGGTACAATTTTTCCACGGGAATTACGAGGCATTTAGCTGCAGTACTGAGAAGTGGTATTTTATCAAAGCCAGGTTACTGAATTTGAGTTGGAACTATTAAAAACCCTCTGTGACACCAGCCAGAAGGTTACACGTTCACGAGGCGTAGCCCTGCAACCATTTTAAGGCAAATTCGGAGGGATTGATATCTTTCGTATGTCTAGCTGGCCGACGAGATTTTATAATTTTATAGTTGTAAACGGCCTAAATATTTTAACCGCTATAACAAAATGGACACAGAAATAAAATATAACATCTTCACATTATTTTTCATATTTGGGTAATCCACTTGCAAACAGCGTTATGTGAGTTTATATAAAAATTTCAGAATTTTTTATGTGAAAAAAAAAATGCGTAGGACAGTCAGCAAAAAATATCTCAAAAATCAACGCGAGATTTTAGACATTTGAAATTTGCATATTATGAAACTAAAATTTAATGGGCTATAAAACTGCATAGCTAGTTTTTTATAAATTCGTTTTCGAAAATTCGCGATTTTGCTGGAACTTTGCAGATTTTTCTTAATTTTTGTACACAGTATCATTCTTGGATTTAAATGAGATTTGCTAAAACATAGGCAACATTTTAAGACAAAATTAACAAAAAAAATTTAGCGTGTAAAACATTGCGAATATTAACAAAAAAGAGTCGTACGCTCAATTTTGGGAGTAACAATATGTACGCGCATATTTTTAAACAAACCTCGTGTGCAGAGAACTTATTTAGTTTACGAAAGTCGAAAAATGAAAATTGGCTTAACAAAAATATTCAAAATTTTTATCACTCATTTTATTTCAAACTTTTTTTTCTTTTGCTTTGAAAAAGTATAAAAATTAAATATAGCAAAAACAAAAAACAAAGCTAACTAAAAGTAGAATAATCAACATTGAAGAGCGTCAAAATTAAAATAAGGGAGCATGAGCTGCGGTGTGAGGCAACCTTATGTATAAGTATAATTAAAAATAGTACCTANGGCTAACTAAAAGTATAATAATCAACATTGAACTGCGTCGAAATGAAAATAAGCGAGCATGAACTGCGGTGTGAGGCAACCTTATGTATAAGTATAATTAAAAATAGTACCTAACGAAAAATACAACAACATTTATAGCTTTGAGTGCACAATTCTGCTGCTCATTTATTACAATTCTGGTTACACCAAAAATACATATATGCTCATCATTAGTAAGAGAAACGGATGTAACATTTTCATTTGCATCTCTTGCCTTGAAGATCAAGTAATTACATGTAATTACATGCACATACCTGTCTGACCCATTAGTGCTTTTTTATTTCATTTATAACCAACTTCACAAAAAGGAGAAGCTTATCAATTCGTCGGAATATTTTTTTTGTTTTTTTTTGTATGTATGTTACCGCATACCTTTGGACCACGTTACTTGTCTCTTAACAACTCTGAAGGCAACGATCCAAGCGGCGGCGCAGACACAGCGCTATCATATATCAACCAGAAGTGTGAAATACCTTTCATGCGCTCACATATATGTACATAAATATTTTTGCGCTTGCTTGCCTCATTTTATGTTCTTGCTTGTCATAATATTGTCATTAAAAAATTATAAAAAAGATAAAACCAGAAGAGTCCATAATAAGCAACAGAAAGAAGAAGGCTATAGATCGCCTNGGTAAGAGAAACGGGTGTAACATTTGCCTTTGCATCTCCTGCCTTGAAGATCAAGTAATTACATGTAATTACATGCACATACCTGTCTGACCCATTAGTGCTTTCTTATTTCATTTATAACCGACTTCACAAAAAGGAGTAGGTTATCAATTCGTCGGTATTTTTTTTTTTGTTTTTTTTTTTTGTATGTATGTTACCGCATACCTTTGGACCACGTTACTTGTCTCTTAACAACTCTGAAGGCAACGACACAGGCGGCGGCGCAGACACAACGCTATCATATATCAACCAGAAGTGTGAAATACCTTTCATGCGCTCACATATATGTACATAAATATTTTTGCGCTTGCTTGCCTCATTTTATGTTCTTGCTTGTCATAATATTGTCATTAAAAAATTATAAAAAAGATAAAACCAGAAGAGTCCATAATAAGCAACAGAAAGAAGAAGGCTATAGATCGCCTTGCTTATAAATCCCAAATTACGAATTAAAACAGTCAACAAGCTGCTGAAAAAATGAACAAAAAAAAACGCCAAACAACGAAACACAATTTGACCTTACATGCCAAGGTGGCTAGAAAAAAGTTAACAAAAATGTGCTTAAACGACAACGGTAAAAGAAGTGTTAGAAAAAATGTAAACAAGGTAAAACAAAATGAAAACATTACAGCAAAAAAGAGAAGCCCGTTGGCCCTTTTGCTGGCTAGAAAGGCAGAGCCACTGGGATAGTGACGACATAATTTTAAAAGTTTACAAAGAAATCCACTCAAAGCAGCAAAAGTGGCAGTGTTTGGGTGCGTAATTCTTGTAAACCCTTTTTTGTTAATGTTTTGTATTTTTTTTTTTTTGTGCAGCGTGGCACATTTGTTGTTAGCTGTTTGTTGAAATTTACAATTTTTGTTTTGTTTTACTCCCGTCTTACCTCGAACCTTTGCTGTATGCATCAGCAAGCTGCAATAAAAACTATTCGCACTAAATACACGCACGCACTATAACAGAAATTCGAACAAGAATACTTAGATGGCTCAAAACAAAAAAAAAAAAGAAGAAGAAACTAAGTGGATGTAAAACAGTTATTTGTTTATATGAGCACCCTGTTTGCGCACATTTGTCGACTCAAAACAGCGTGAATATAAATGAAAGTGTGCTCTTTCGCAATGTTGCATCTTCATTAAAAATTTAAAAAGCGTAAATACCTACAACGCTGCCACAACCGGTGCCCACACACACACACACACACACACTAGTTAGCGATCTACTAGCGCTGCAAAAATGTAATGAATGCAGCTTCTCATAGCGCTTAAGCTGAATTGGCAGCGTTGTTGCCATTCATAACACTGCCGCTACCGCCACCCACATCGCCACCAACACATACACGCATCTGTGCAAACAAAACTTGTCGACTTGTCTAACCTCGCTCGGTTACCTGAACTGCTGAGAGTCACTGGTTAACAAACATGCATATATGTATGTATGTACATAACAGCTCGCGCTAACTTATGCGCTGTTTGAGGCTGCAAACTGCAAACAGAAGAGGCCTATTTCATTTTTCGTTTTGTTGGTGTTGTTGTTGGGAAGCAAGGCAGCTCAAAGCTAGTTGAATCTGACTGAAAGGAAGTAAGGTCGTGAATGGTTGTAGCGGTGGCAAAGGAGGTTGGCTAAAGCGAAGGTAAAGCAATTCAACAATCATCGAGCAAACAGCAAGCCAGTCGGTCAGACGGGTGGACGGGTAGATAGGCAGTCAAACCAACGAAGAACCAACCGCTCAGAGTTACAGCCAACCAACAAGTCAGCCACCCAACCAGGCCAGCCGCGAATTTTGTGAATTGGCATAGTCTACTTTCCCCGCAAGCAGTTCGCTAGCCTTAGAGCTATGCACGACAGGAAACCATAGCAGCTGGTCCAACAAACATACATACATATGTACGTACTAAATACATACTGATAGCAATAGCTGCAGTAATAGTCACGGCGGCAGTATTATCGTAACCGCCAGCATGTAAATATGTATGTACATATGTATGTATTTATGTATAGATGCATTTTAGTATGTTTGTGAATGCTTTAGTAGCGACTCTAATCGCTATGAGTCACTATTGCGCTATCCATGCGCTGTAAATAAACAAATTTACCTAAATTCGTGCATAATGGCGACTTAAAAAATATTTGCTTTTATTAGGGAGTCACTGATTCTTGCGAAAAAAATTAAGTCTTTAATGATATCAGGCATATGAAATCTTAAAAAATGCAAATAAATATTTCAATTAAGATTCGTATATTTTGGAAGTTTCTATTTGTAAATTAATGTAATGTTAGCACATTATCTACAATAAGATAGATAAAATATCATCAAATATATCGATACATATGTACTTCTACAAATATTGTACCAACATAACGATATCCATATCGATGAAAATATATAAAAAAACTACGATAACCGATTAATTTCGCATACAATATAGATATTTCAACAAATTTTTCGATTAATCTATCGACAGTTATACAAATAAAGTCTTTGAAAACACTATACATACACAATAAATTCATTGACATTAAGTTGTAATTTTATACGTTTCTTAGTAATTAAGTATTTACTTTTTTTTTGTGTTTTCTTTAATAAACTTTAATATTAAGAGGCTCTCCTATATATCGAATATTTCTATAACTCGAATCGGTTCTGCAATCATTACCTCGAATTATCCAGTTTTGACTGCACTTGCAAGTGAATCTGAGAGACAAATTTTCTTTGATGATATAAGTATATCTATATATCTATATATAAAGTTTTGACTTCGACGCTGACCTCACTCTCTCATGAACAAATCCTCTTCAACAAAGCTTAAATAAGTGCAGTAAAATACAAGTTAAGATCGTGTGTACTGGAAGTAAACTCGTGTGAACTTTTGAAAAGCCTACCAAAAACTTGTATGCAATATTGGGACCTTATACCTGGAACTGTCGCTATACATATATTATAAGATCACTGGAAAGTATTGGCATTTATTCAAAAGCATCTATTTACTGCATCTATGGTCAATTTTTTGTTTTCGTAATATTACGCGAGAGTATGTCGGCTTATGTTTTTTTTTTTTTTGAGTATGTTGACACGCGGAAATCAAGCTGCCCAACTCTGAACTGAAAAACTGCGAGCAGACAAGTATATACATAGGTACATATGTAAGCTTCACAAATTTTTCTGTTTTCTACCGAAGCTCATTTTTTTGGGCTTTCTACCCATTTCTGAATTTAAGGATGTGTCACTAAATTAAAGCTGCTACTTTTAAAATTTTTGTTTTATTTTATAGTAAAAATTCAAACGGTAATGAATGTGGAAAGGGTAACCGGCAGGCTAAATCCGGAAATTGCAAAGCACTCTTCCTAGCCACTACAGGGTACAGCAGCACTTGTCAAGCCTACAAATAATTTGCACTGACCTGTACAGGTTGTGCCACTAGAAACAGGGAACAGCAGAGCACATTCGGTGCAACAGTGACGCCTTCTCCAGTGCTGCCGTTTTCTATATTTTTTTTGTAGTAGTAAAAAACGTAAATTTTTGGGAATATTTTGCTGTTTTGGGAAGTAGACCCCAAATGTTTTAAAAATCTTTCAAACTTAAGTTAAGGCCACTTAAAGCTTTAAAATAAGGTAAGTGTCGTATAGAGTGAGATGGAAATTATTGAGAAAGATAACTAGACGTGGATCTCAATGTCCAAGCAGTCCTCAAGGACAGGGACAATATGATGCAAAAAAGTGAGAGGCCTTGGACCAAACCTAACCTTCAAACTAGGTACTTCTAAACTAGACTATGCAGGCCTCATCTAAATTGTAATGTTAGTAAATGTAACGAACTTGTTTTACTTTAAATACTCGTAAGTGACAGGTCACACGGGAATACCTGCTGATTTAGTTGCAAAAGCCAAAGGTCGCGGATTTCCTAGCCCAAACCAGTTGTAGCACTCAGTAATGACAGGGAGGCTTCGAGGGGGGAAGCAGTCATTAAGCAAGTGGTATACCTAAGTGGTGACTACTTGAGGCACGAAACACTGGATGCGGTTGGAATACTTAACACCCTTATTTGCCCTTCCTGTCTTGAAGAAGAAGAAGATGAAACTGCTACCCCTTTTAGTGTTTCGGTCCCGCCTGCGCAAGTATAGCCTATGAGTAAAACTCCACAACAAACTTTAGTGTGTAGCGTAGTGTGTTCGGACCGACAAACGAGCTTTTCTTCCAAGAGTAATATGTGAGCCCCGATTACACGAGACTCATTACTAACCTAAACCAATATAAATTCATCACTGCAGTCAAAAGTTTAAAATAATGCTGGTATATGGCTTAAGAAACTTGTATCAAAACGACAAATTTTTTTCCGTCGAGTACTACGCCAAGTGCGCCCAATCACTTGCACATTATCGATTGTTATTGGTGTCTTATTTAATTGATCAAACGCGGGAATACATGGCGTATGAGTAACAAAAATTTCTGTGTTTATATGGCATATAAAAAATTAATTATTTAATTTAACAATCGCTGCAATTATTAATTTATTTTTTTTCTACAAAACGAATGTTCTTCCATCTTGATAGGATGGAAGGCATCTCAAAGATAGAACAAAAATTACTACTGAAATTCGCACAAGGCTTTGACATCCTTTGTGATGTCTACTCTCAACGTCTAAAATCGAACTCTAACTCACAACGTGGGGACTTATGCTCTATGTGCAGCTTACCGCCGGCCAGATTAACTTTACCTAACCTTATGAAAATCTCTTGAATTAAGGCTTTCCTAACTGTTGATACCATTTTGAGTAGACAAAGTTTTACGAACTCAACTTTTCCGTGAAAAACTTCCTCTGCAAGTTGTATTTCAAACCGAAAAACTTTGTTAAAGAAGAAACAACTTGTCGTTGTATTAAAAGTAAGACACCCTAATGTACTATGTATTTATATATTGACGTGCGTATCAACGTATAAAGGTTTGCAAAAATGTTTAACGAGTTTGTCAAAAATAACTGCAGTGAATGCGCTCACGAGATATGCCCGCATTTGCACGACTATTTCGGCCCCGCCACATACCTCACCCAACTAACGTCCTCCATCAACATCCTCATCATTTTCCGCCGCCGGTTGGCTAAGCTCTTTAGATGTCTGGTTGGTTGACTCGCATTTGCCTGAAATGTGAATGTTTTGATATAGTGTATGTAGACGTTGACGTGGATGGACGAGTCGCATAGAATCGCGTAATTGTATCTCACAAATTGCACTCATTAAACAGACACAAGCACGCATACAGACAGATAGACACAGCTAGAGATTGAGCTGAGTGGTTGATATTAATACAAACTAACAGCACTTGAAAGCCATAGTGAAGACCTACATAAATAGCAAAGTTATGGCAAAAAGCATAGCACTGCATTGCATTGCGCAGAACGAAAAACGCTACGCTGTGACAGATTGGCATTCACTTGAACGCCTGGATATTTGCTATTTGGCTTAATAACTGCAGGAATTAAACAACAAAAAAACAACAACAGTTGCATCGCATGTCTGCTGCGCCACTCGACGTTTAATAGACATAATGGCTGGAGAGGACTCACTCAAGTTTTTTTTTTTCCTTTTCTCAATTTCCACTTTTTTTATGTAAAAATGGGGCGAAATGCTTTTATTTACGAGTGTTTCTGCAGCGTTCCTATACTCCAGGCAACCACGTACATACATACATATGCATATACGTTAGGCTCATTTTTCCTTTTGCCACCGCTTCAAAATTACTCTGCCCATTAGCACCCAGCTGGGTTGCTACATCAGCAGCGTTCTAATAAATAAACAGTGTGTGCCATATATACGAGTATGTACATTTGTATGAACTAAATTGCAATTGCGCCAATACATATTGATTCAAATGGCATAAACGTACATAGTAATCTCAAAAATCTTTCACTTTGGTAGTTCAAATGACTTTCATAATAACCAATACATATGTATCTATGTACATATGCACAATAACTTCAAACGACTTTCATATCAGCAGCGCAGTTATTTACAAGAAAATCAAAGCCGTCACTCGTATCAGCAACAGCAAAACACTTATAACAGTGGCGCAACATTGAGATACTCAACAAATACTTATGCAATAGCACTCATAAGCAGTGTTGCCAATTTTGCTACTTTCGTACCAGAACTGGTACTCTTAAAATGATTTAGTACGTTGGTACGTTGATTTTGATATAATTAAAATTAAAATTATTCCATAAAAGCGGCAGCTCTTGAAACAGTATTTATTTATTTCCATATATACATTTTTTTATTTTTATATAATATATATTCTTGTTCGCCAACTGAAATTCCAATAATTTAAACGATCTTCAATACAATTAAATCGCGAAAGTTATCGATTTGTGGTTTATTTGCAGATTCATTATTAAAAATCAAAGGGCGAATTAATTC